GAATCCTCGTCGCCGTCCTGGTCCGGTCGGTCCGATGCTTTGACCGTACTGTGGTAAGCTGATCAAGAGTTATCAAAGGAGACTTGGAATGAAGTGAGCCGAATGTCGTCACTGGTCACCAAGCATGATCTCCATTTACTCACGGCCAACTGATCAAGGAAGCGTTCCCTAAGTAGATACTCGAAGAACGTACCGTGTCATTGGGCTCCATCGTTATAAACGATTTCTTGTCCTTCGCGGTCATCGCAGCCCCGCTTGCTGTAGGAATTGGTGCTCAAAAACTGAACCTCACCCCGAACCACCCGTCTCGTGCTTGTATGTATTTGCAAGTGTGATTAACTCTGATTCTCGACCTTATCATCTCACTACTAGAGTGCGTGGCTGTGTTTAGCGGTGATGTAATAATGCAGCTACTAGTTCCTTTTCTTGAATGCAACACGTTGAGCACGACTGGAGCAATGCATCTCCACTTCAACACAGTGCTGGTCAAGGTAGGGTCCAGCGTGTGTCATCGAATCCGCGACCAGGGGGATCGGAAGTGCTGGGATAGCGGTGAAACGAAGATCGGCAGCATATTCAGGAGGACTATGCAGTAGTTGTATATTACACGGTTAGGAGCATCAGAATTGGCTTGGTAAGTCACTTTATAGATATGATTCTTTTAAATGAGTCCACTATTCAGAATGGATGTCGGGAGTATGGCGCACTCTAGAGTCGCATCTCTTCCGCCACGCGAATATTCGAACTGCGTCACATCCTCGCGCTTAGTTTACTAGATCTCAACTCATCAACATCAACAGCATCTCAACTTCCTAAAAAAGTAGTCCAGACAAGGCAGTGCACAAATAAGCGAAGCAACTATTCGCAGGCAGGCTACACACTTGTGGAATGAAGGGAAACAGCAAAAGCAGGAAGTGTCCTGACTGCTTACGAGAGCTCTCCTTTTAACCCCTTTTAGACAGCGCCTGCACATGACGCTTCTGTAACATATTTTTCGTTAACTCTGGCTTTTTCGCTGGATTTTTTACTGGCCGCTAGGGATTGAATCGCCCGACCTTTTCTCTTCTCGCTGGCAGCGTTAACTTAGGCCGCGTTCATAGTTCGCGACACCGGAGATTAGGATAGTAGGATAGTCGGAGAGTAGAGAGTAGGATAGTAGGATACTGAGCGACTGGCGATAGGAGAGTAGGAGAGTAGGATAGTAGTAGATTGCGCTGAACAGATTAGATACGTATTGATCAGGATATTAGGATAGTAGGATATTAGTAGAGTACGAGATTAGGATAGTAGGATAGTAAGCGACCACAAATAGAAAATCAATACTCCTATTATGCCTGTTTTCTTTTCCTGCCTACTTTTCCTTTTGCTTTTCACTTTCTTTTCTTGAGTTCTTTCTAGATTAGGTCACAATTGAATTTCCTGTGAAATCCAACAGACTCCATTCTGATCGAATGAGGATGGATGCATGCTGCATCCGAAAAACGTACAGCGCTTGTGGAAGAGCAGTTTTCACCTGCTGTCCCAGCGCAAAATACGCAGCACTGTCAATAGCAGCAGTTTCCGCACCTAATCAACCAAATCAAACTGTTCTTTTTCACTGGGGGATGAATAGACACGTAAAATTGAACAAAGAGTAACGGATATAAAGTTTACGCAATGGGAAGGAAAGTGACGCGATTGACGAGTGGACCAAGCTACTTCGAGATAAATCAAGTGTGAATCTTTCTTTATTCGTGAACATAATCGATTCATCCACATTCTGCCCGATGTTTGGCAAGAAAGCACTTAAGTCGCACAGAAAAATAAATATCTTTGTATGCTATACTTGATCCAAAAGCCATACTTGTCACAGAATTCATTTGCTTCAATCAGAGCTCACTAAATGGACAACATCAATACAAGTAAAGATAGGATTACCACGATAAGTTAAGTGAGTAAAGCGAGGTCATCCGTTTTAAAACAAAGGCTGGGCAAGTTTGATAAGATCTGTCATTATAAACCGTAACAGAATCAAGTGGTGTAAGTGAGCAAGTAAATTAATAGTTTTGGCACAAAAAGTTGTTAGTACGGGAAGTTGGAGATGCAGGTGAGTCAGAGCTCTTCCAACTTCCTTTGAGCTCTCCGTAATCGGCGTCTCTCTTCGACGAATTTCGGATGACGACGCACGTACTCCACCATCTAAAAAAATTTATTGGAGATATCCGAACGATCAGAGAAACATTAAATGATTGTATAAGGTTGAAATTGCGCTCAAAAATGAAAATAGATGTGAAAATGGGCCGCCAACAACCACAGAAAATACCAAATGACCGTCCCTTTTCTTCTACGGTCGGTGAGCGAATCCATGGGATGGGGAGTTTGAGAGACACTAGGCGCTAAGGGGAGACAACAGGAGCGGAGTTTAGAAAGCACAAAGGCACAAAGGGCGAGCAAGACGCCAAAACGCTGAAGTGGCACTGCCTTTACGGCTGCAGACCCACCCACCTTACCCCATAGAAGGGCGAGCCCCAAGGAACTAGCTGTGGAATATACCTTCAAAGAGAAAACGAGAGCGCGAACAAGGTGAAGTCAGAAAGAAACGAGAATTCAAAACAGACAGATCAAATCGCTGAAGCTGACTGAATCACGTTTAAATATTAGAGTACAACTCACCAATTTCACCTGACGTACGAACTCCTCGGGGTCAAATCTGTAGTTTGTGAACTTCTTATGTGGATCACCAGTCTGGGGATGAAGACCGTCGCCTTCGGGATAAATCAAGTGGTGCTGTAAAGGAGCATATATGACCAAATATGATCTAATTGATATCAAAATTCAGAACAACTTTGTCAGGTGCCCAGGTGAAATATTTCACGCCACGAAGTCGAGCCAAGTCCTTGTAGCAGTTGCGGTCATCACAATTGTATCTGAAAGCCAAAATGCAATACTTGTTTGGTATAGCTTTTTTCAAGCGAATGGACAAAGTAGAAAGGGAAAGAAAAAATGAGTGATAAATCGCACTGGAGTTTTGGGCATTTGCAGTTGCGGGTGTAACTGCAATGATTGTAAAGGCAAACCATCGATCACGCTGGCTCCCTTTTTTTGTCAAGTAAGTGACACGAAATAATAACCCATTGGATCACCAATGTTTGGTCAGCCCTAGCTTACTTCACACAAAGAACAATGCAGATCTCCAGAAAATATACGACAAGGAACTTCATTTTAATTCCTCATAATCAACATCTGAACAATATGCTGAAAAGCTGCCTCACTGATGTATACCTGCACACGAATACGAAAGTACTGATGAAATTGCCAGCAGCAAAAATAAAGTGAAAGAATTTTTCGGAAACGCTCAAATTGAGGGTTTGCTCAGCTTCGTGATGCGCTGCGCTACAAGGGTCTTTCAGAGTGTGCCAAGCTTTTTCAAAACGGTCTTTTGCATGATATAGGGGCACATGCGGGAACCACAGAACCATGGTTAATTTTTCCTGAACGGCCTCTCTGAATACCAGAAAAGGGGGTCCTAGTCACACCTTTTTCACCAGTTTTTCAATCAAAGTCTATTTGTAAGGGTTACTGACGTCCTAATCATGAATTTGGTATTAATTATTCATGCTAATTCCATTTCGCGCGAACTTCGAAACGTAACTTTAATGCAAATTTTCCACCAGGATGCGAACTGTGACTACTTTGGTGTTCAGGAGGGCCGCGACAGGAACAAAATGACGCATGCAACTGTGGTCGCCCAATATGTGCCCCAATGTCATGCAAAAACTATTTTGAAAAAGCTCGGCACACCTTGAACGACCTCCCTTGTAAGGCAATGAGAGAGTGAGCGCGGTGAGGAGAGGATGAGGCGAGAGAGTGCAACAGATGAGAGAACACCAGACAACAGCCTGTTGCCAGCGGGAATTGAAGCTGCTGAAGCTACCTTTGCAAGCTTTAGCTCGGGCGATTTCTCATGCACGGGTGCCACACCTGTGATTACCCTCTACTAGAGCTCTATCCTACAGACCAAAGAAAATCGTCCACTTGGCTTTCTACTGCTTTTGCCTTCAAAATGCACTTAGCAGACAGTCAGCGGTACACTAAACTTGAGGTTGAAGTAGGGAAAATAAGCCTTCCAAAAATGAGATTGGGCCTCCAATCATAGGAGATCAAGTTGTGGCATGTTTATGGCGAAAAGTGCGTCCGCAGCAGCCTAGCAAAGCCTTACCCGTACTGATAGCCGTCTCGTGGATAGCTCCGGCTTCGAGTGGCATCATTCGCACAGGAATGGTTGAACGCCTACGGTGAGAGAATGTGACAGGCAATGTGTTAACACTGATGACGTCATCTATCGTATAATCTCGTCCCTCGCGAAATCAACGAGTAAAGAAGGGAAGCCATTCAGTGGCGGGTTGGGACTGTTCCCCTTCGGTTTTCTCACTTACTGCCCCATTACCCCGAACATTTCATTGCCAGGAAAGACCAATTTAACCTATCAGCTCGCACTTTGACATTAGCATTCTTTTACGCTTCTAGCCGTCACTTTGTCCATCGATGATGTATTGATGCGCAATAAAACCTGACCGCATTTTGTTCACCCCGCCGTCTTCCTCATAAAGTGAATATATTTCCACATCAAAAGTGTACACTTTGTTGAGTGCTATACTCAATGACAGGTGGTCTGACACCCACTGTCAGACGACAAAAACCGTCGATAAAGAGCCTCTGCAGCCATAAGCATAAAGTTCATAATAAGAGAGGGAGATGATAGAAATCACTCCGCTCCTCAACTGAGACGTAGCCCTAAGTTGAAAGTATTTTTTTGAATTCTTTCGGAAGTAAACTTTCAGCGCTGACAAAACCAATCTCAGATTACCCCTGCGGAAATGATTCTGATAGCTTGTGTACCTAGTGGCACGTTATTTGACATCCAGACTGTACTGTTTTATTAATACTAAGCCGAATGCGGAGCTTCTAGGTCATTATGAAGTTCGTTGATTTTGGTAGGAGTCCGCTACACAAGTAAATTGGCAGAAAAAAAGCGCTGCTACCAACTTGTAGTTCTCCAGGCTAACCCCAAAAAACTATGCCCTTCATTCCGTCGGAGCCAAGTTGTCTATCATCCTCGTTCAGATAACAAGAGAACTATGTTTGAAGGCGGATTTCACGATGAAGGCAGCCTATTGAAAATTACCTTAGAGATGGTCAGTGACATACGAAAGAAGAGAAAACCGAGAAAATGGTCTGAACCCGAGAAATGGGACCTCTTCCTTACCCGTTCAATAGCGAACTGATGCGACTACATATCATCGGTGCTGCTCTCTTCAACATTAACGTTTAAATCTGAACGTCTGTTAAACAGCTAGAGACGACGTGAAAAGGGGGGGGGAGGTACCACGCCAATAGCCCGCCAATCGCGCTTCGGGGAAGGCCATGTCTCGCCGGGGCACATTCTTTGCTGCGAATTGAGTGTCGGTCCGCATCCTTGAGAGGTCCACCTGTCTCTCCACTAGGTAAGTTTCTCCTGCTTCGGCCTTCGTCCTTACCGTAGAATCCTCGTTCAACGTTATGTTTAAAATCTGTTAACATCAACCACTTATTCTTTATTACTTCTCAAAAACTGAGCAGGGCCTGAATGGCCCAGTGTATTGCATGAAGGTTTTTTCTTGGGGGTCTACAAGTGTGTGGTAACGATCACGATTCGAGCAAACCGTTCAAAAGGCACTTTAAAGAGAGATTACGATAGAGTGTGCGTGCAGCATGGAAGCACATGCACAGTGAAGTAGTCAGGGCCTAAGGAAGCGAGATGTGGCCCTTTTCGGCCAAAGGTGCGCTAGTTCAGCGCCCTGGGGCTGCCAATCCTTTCTGAGCTCCGCCTCCGCCTGTGCTCCGCCCCTCAGTGTGTTGCTGTTCGATTGTTTATCATTTGGATGAGGTATTCCACTTCGAGTGCGTATCCTATAACTTTCTCATGGAATGCTATATCAATCAAAGGTATGATCTTGCTGGAATGATAGCGGCTATCGGTTTAACATGTGCAAACGACCTCTTAATTGGTTGCTAGCTCGTCCATTATCGGAGGTCAACGGGCAAAGAAAGGGTCCCATTTTGCGCGTTCTTGACGGATTTCTTTGCTTTTTTCGCCACTGGGGCATTATTCAGCATCTCCACTTCCACTATGAACCCAGTCCAATCTTATCGTAATCCCTCGCTTTAAAGCCACGAGTCAGGATTAGGTGAGCTTAGAAGGCCTTCCATCACTTATACTTCCAGGAC